TGTGTGTGTGTGTGTGTGTGTGGTGCCTGTCCTGTATAAGATGTGGTTTTGAGAACAAACAAAAACAAACAACAAAAACTTCAGGGCAGGAAATGTAGCAGAGAGCCTCTGACTTTTCAGGCAAAGTAAATGGTTCTGAAAATCCCAGAATAATCCAAGGGTCCCTGGAGGTCCACAGGCCAGGGACGTGGAAGAGAGTACCCACAGGGGTACCCTGGAACCTATCCCCTAGAATCTATCCAGGTGAAGCAGAGGCCAGACAACAGGTTCCTGGCCCAGAAATCCCAGCTGTGAGCCACCACCCCAGGCCACCCCAGTGTCCTCCAGAGGCCTCACTGGGTCTGCAGCCAGTCGGTTGGGGATGGTGGGAGTCTGCTGGTCAACATACACCACCTTCTTCGTGTCCTCGAAGCTGGGATCATTGGGCACCACATCATAGAAGAGTGGCCTGTAGTCCTCCACGATGCCTGGGGATAGAGGGTGACGGGACAGTCACTCGGGATCCCAAGAAGGCCCAATACCACCCAGAGGAGAGCCTTGCCCACCCTCTGTCCTAGGGTCCAGGTGAAACCATGGCCATGCTACCCCTGAGAGGGACACCATAATATAATAAATATATTTATAAATAATAATAGTTACTGCCAGTTATTTTACATTCACCATATATGTTGGACGTTGTGCTATAAACACTTTACACACATTATCCTGCTAGTATTCACAGCAACCCGACGGGTGGGTACGATTTCTACCCCGTTTTACAGGTGAAGAAACCGATGCTCAGAGAAGTTGAGCCCAAGGTTACCCAGCTAGTAGCGGCAGAGTAAAGACCTGACCTCACCGTATTCCTAGGCCAGTCTTTTCCCCACCCAGGGCCCAGGTACTGCTCCCAGGCCCCAGCTATCACAGATGCCCAATAATACGTTTACTGAACATTTACTATGTGTCAGGCCCTGTCCTCACTGCATTGCATTAAATCCTCACAACAACCCTATGAGGTAAGTAATACTATGAGCCCCACTTTATAAGCAATGACATTAAGACCAGAGAGGTTAAGAAACTTGTCTACAATCCCACAGTAGTGAGTGGCAGAGCTAGGGTTTAAGAGCAGAAAGTCTAACCAAAGCCCATGCTCTTGACCTCCAAGCTCCATTTAAGGGAGGGTAGCCGGCCGGCTGCTGCGTGAGGATGTGGAACGAGGAAAGAGGGAAAAAATACGTCTCCTAAGAGAAGGAGATTTTTTGCAGGTCCAGATACCATCCACTCACTCTTAGCGATAACACAGGACTCTACTGACCCTTCAGCAAGAGCACAGTCCTTAGCAGGAGCTTCCTCAAAATGATGCCTGCGGAGCGGCAGAGGGCTGGGGCAGAAGCAGCCAGACCCCAGAAAAGCACCCCTGGCCCCACCTTGCTTCCCAGCCCGAGGCTGGGGGCCGTGGCCACACAACCGCAGCCGGTGGAGCCCGCACCAGCTGTGCTCCCCTGGCGGGCTTCCAGGCCAGCCCCTGTGCTGCTCCAGCCCTAG